CCCCCCCCCCCCCCGCGCCCCAGCATTATTCCTTTCCCCAGCATGTCACTTGCCAATGGGCGCCTGCATCATGAATTTGGTGAGTGATTCTCCATTTGGGCATCTCCCAAGTTAAAATAATGTGAAATAAAGAAATATATGGAAAGACAACAAAGCAGAAATAGCCCCAGAGGGGAGGGAGGGAGATCTGCTATGAATTATCTGCTGGGAGTTGGGTGGCATATACATTTAATAAATTATGAATATATAATATGTTACTCCTGGTGACTGCCTGGACTATTTGCTGCAGTTTTCTTGGTAAGAATTTCAGAAGTGATTTGCCATTGCCTTATTCCTAGGGCTGAGAGAGAGTGATTGGCCCAGAGTCAACTAGCAGTCTTTGTACATAAGCCAAGACTAGAACTCATGGTCTCCTGGTTTCCAGCCTGATATCTTAACCACTATACCAAACTACAAGAAGCGAATTCCTGTAGTGTGGGATAACTTAAATATATCCCTCTTCTTTCCCAAATTAACTTGTGCTTTGCTTTCCTCTGTTTCATTGGAAGCCTAGAGAGAAATTGGTTACCGAATTGATGGGGGGTGGGGTGGAGGGGAGAGAAGGCAACAGTTATGAATGGAACTCAGGAACATCAAATAGTGGAAGAAAAATAGCTGTGGCAGAGACTGGCTAGTGACCAGCGTTTCCAAAAAACACTTCTGGTCTTTATCATAACACAATCTGTTCTTTGTGATATTGATGACTATACATAAAAGCTACCCATGTTGACTCTGAAAATGGGTATATCCAAAGAAGGGCAAGCTTCTGAATTTGCAGATAATTTCCAACTATTTAATAACTGTTAAGCAATTGTAAAGTAATGTCTTTACCCACTTATTCTGAAAGACTTGTATGAGAAAGTGAGATTACTGTTCTAAGAAGTGTCATCCTGAAACTACTTAGTAGTTTACAAAAGTGCAACTACTCACACAAATAAGTGGTTTCAAAAATCCATCCCAGATAAGTAATTTAACATGGATGTAGGTTGCAAATGTTACACTGTAAATCTGATAGATTACTCATGTAATAACTGATAATTTTAACACAGTTATGTAGATTGACTAGACAAGTTCTAATTTGCTAGGTAATGACTATGAATAGTTGCACGTGCTATGGAGGAGACCAGCAAATTAGTATGGCAGAACAAGCTATTTACCTATTCATGGTTTGGGGAGAATAAGCCTTTAGTTCAGTGATACTAAATATGGAGGTGGGGGAGGTGTATGTGTGTAGTATTACTTGGTAATGTATTTTTTAAAGGACTTACTGTATAGGCTATTCTGTCCTTTAAAGGTATCAGCCATTCCATATACTGTATATAACTACAGGTAAGCCAGTCTTCCCTTACCTGGTATTGTCCAGTTATCTTGGTTGGGAGATTATAAAAATTGAAGCTTAACACAACTAGTTTGTACCCGGTTGGGGAACATACCATAGATGACTCTCTGTTTTCTTTGTTAATGTAATATTAGGAAACATTTTTTTTATCATCTGTCTTTTAAGTGATACCTCAGCCACATTTTAAAATGTTAAAATGATGGGATAAAAAATCAAATCACTTCAGGCCTTTCAAATAGTGTTATAAAAGTTAAATCATGGATTTAGCTAAGTTGATTACTTGATCTCCTTAGCCTAAATAAAGCAGATGGCCTGTAGTGTTATAACATGTTTGATTTTTAGGTAAAATGCGTCTACCCTGTTCTTCAGACTTGTAGTTTAAAAAATTGCATTGCAAAAGAAAAAGGGGGATGAGAAAAGGAAGATAAGACTATTTGGAAGTCAGTTTTCAGCTTTATGGCTTTTATTTTAGCCATAATGGTAATATAACACTCTAATACACCCAACATCACCCTCTGGGGGAGATGGGTGGCATATAAATTTAATAAATAAATAAAATAAACATTGTGATCTAATGCCTATCAGTAATGGAAACACATAAAAGAGATTTTGGTCTCACAGCTAGCCCAGTGGAGTAGCCTTATCTGTCTCTTTATTGCTTTCTGGTGGGGTGGTTGCCGGATGATAATGCCTATCAAGAGTGCAGATGGTGACTTTGTTTTTCTAGCAAAGATGAAAAGCGAGAGTAGACTGCAGTCTAAATAGTGCAGCATGTCAGAAGCTTCAGACCTCAACTGTAGAGGGAACAGTGTTTCAAAAGTCACTGCTGTATGGGGCTGTATTTTGTAGCCAGGTCTGCTGTCAACCCCACATGTTAGTGCCGTAGGACATTGTAGGGGTTTCAGGGTCCCCAAGCTCTTCGTATTGTTTCCCATCATAGAATCAGAGCTAGAAGGAATCATTTAAGCCATCATGGCTCTGCTGTGTACAGGACTCATAATACATATCTACCTCCTGCCTAAAAATATCCAAAGAATGGGAGATTTTTTATCTGAAATATTCCTAATGATGTTATGAGGTACAGTGTGCCTAGCTCTTCATATACTCGGAAGCTTCTACTTTGTCTGTAAGTGGCCCTGTTTTGTTACTTTGCTGGTTGGGAAAGAACCAACAAGTACCTATTATCAACATTATGGTAAACGGGGCTGGAGTTTGCAATAAAACTTAAATAGCATTTGGAGTTTAAGATTTTATATCTTAAAGCATTTGTTTTCCTAGAGAGAATAACTGCAGTGCACAGTACCGTCTACAGTGTAATCTGGTTACGATATTATGCACAATTGGTAAAAGTAGATATTTAACCATAATTTTAATACTATATTATGATACCGAATTCTATTTTAAAATTCAAGTTTACAGTGTGCTGTAATATGGATTCTACCATACCATTCCTATGTTATCTAAAATGTGAAATTAACTTGGTTTATTTGTTTTTCCTTCAAGGTAAAATCTAGTAGAACTTGAATTCAAAGCTGAGAAGTCCTCTGAGAATGTGTTTAAAATATTGCAGCTATCTGAGAGCACCATGGCTTTCATTATCTCTTCAACTTTTACAGAAGATTCACTATAAATGTATTGCCTTTTGGACAGATATATTCATTATTATAAGCAATATGAATCCAAACTTAATCTTACTGTATTTGTAATGTAGTACTGAATGAATGTTACTGAACACTTTTCTACATTAACAGTTGTAACTATTATCCAGGTTCCAACCTTCCCTTCTGGGGGAGGGTTGTTGAGCATGTAGTACAGATTCAGCTGCAGAACACCTGTTTTATTTCTGCCAGCTAATGGTGGATTATATTATATGTATCTCAGGCAAGCTGAGACATTCTTATTCTCTCCTATAAGTTATTCTGTAATTAAGATTCCAGATCAAACAATGTTCTTAAGTGCAGGGGGTTTTTTTAGAAACCATGGTAGATATTTTAAAATTGAATTGTTGTTGTCACATAATAATTCTGTGTTCTTCAAGAAAAATGGAGTAGATGTAATAACTGATGGGAAAATATTTTTTTTTTAAATGTGAGCAGATTAGAAGTTGTAGGCTTGTCTTCTGCTTTTGCTGTGCAGTTTTATAGACTTTGATATGTGTGTGCATTCTGCCAAATTGTGTGTAGTATGCTGATATGGACTTAATAACATCATTTAAAATGAACTGAACTTGATAAATAATATTATGATTGTAAATTGATTTTGTCTCCAAAATTAGGAATTGTGGAGATTATGGCATCTGAAGCTCAAAATGTTAGAAAACGGAACCTGTTATGTATTGAGGGCCAGCCTGTTGATCTCTCTAGGAAGAGGAGCTCTCATTCCCTTAATGAGAATATGAAGGAGGTAAGCTTTTCATAAATTATTTTCTAACTTAATTTTAAAATTAACACATTTCATTGTACTATAATACATTCTAGTAAATGTATATTGTAAGAAGGCTGCCATTTATAAAGCTGTAGTGCATTTCCTATCTCCAGTAGTAAAATCAACATGAGTTTTAAGTGGCCATTAATCTTTTTATCTCATCAGATAGCAGCAGGTGGTTGAGTTGACTTGGATGTAGAAATTAAGATTTGGTCCTGATTGGGAGATCTCTGGAGAATTCCAGGGATTTAGATTAGATGGGGAAGAAAAAAATCCTGAAAGAAAGCATTGACAAACCACATCAAGAAGAGTAGATTGTTGTGTACATTAAGTCACTAGGAGTTTAACTCAGCTTGAAAGAGACTATTTTTTAATATCTCTGTATTGTATATTTCATGAAATATTTCAGTATCTCTGAGAAGTGAAGCATGTGATGGTAGTCTTCTGTAAAAGGCATCAGCGCTTAATCTTTCTGTTCACTTTGAGATTTGGAATAAAGTCTGTTTTGGGATTAGTGGAATTTAAGATGTAGCCTTACTGGGTAACACGATGGACAGATTTACCTATATATTAAACTATAATATGGTTAGGTTTACTTTGCCTTAGAATAATACATCAACTTACTCTTTATGATTTGGCATTTTCTGTGGCTGCAACTACTGAATATGCTCATGGTTAAGCCCGTCCACAGATAAGCCGACCCTTGAATTTTTAACCAAAATACCATGAAAAGTTATCCACCCATGGATAAGCTGACCCTCAAAATTTTTGCATGATTAATTTTTACAATTGGCTTACCTGTGGGTGGCACAATTTTCATGGTATTTTGGTTAAAAATTTGAGGGTCAGCTTATCCATGAGTATATGCAGGTACTTTAAAAAAGTGATACCATATATACTCATGGATAAGCCCATCTCTGGCTAAGCTGAACCCAATTTTGGGGGTGTATTTTGGGACCTAACATTCTCAGCTTATCCATGAGTATATATGGTAATACCAAATCGAATAGGCCCTGCCATAAGTTCACAAAGGATTTTATTGATTACTTGTGATTTGTTCTATTTACTTAAAGGTTAATTTCTAGTATTTACTGATTTTGTATAATTCATTTGTTTATTTATCAGATATATATCCCACCACATTCCAAGGACTCTAAGCAAGTTCCATGATAGGAAAATTGTTCAGTAGCAAATGAATTAAAACTGGGTTTTTCAGAGATACCTGAAAAGTAGATATATTTTTTCTGGTTTGGACCTTGAGCAGAAGAGGTTCTAATTTAGTGCAGTTTTCCATTAAAAAGGGAAAACAGTTTTCCCCAAAACCTATTTCCTTGCTGCTCTGGAGAGTTTTCCACTTAAGATTGTTCAGAGGGTAAAAGGGGAGGAACACATAGGAAAAATAATTGCCTTCTATCAGTAGTAGATTGTCAGCAGAATCCTGCTTTCTAGTAATGATAGGTTATAAAAAGTGATATGATAGTTGTGATTCTCCAACTTAAGTTTTTTTTTTAACTGATTTAAATTACAGGACTGTACAGTAAGCTAGGGAGAAACTGGAAATATAGAGAAAGAAGCAGAAAATGGTAGTAGAATTTTATTTGGAAATATTCTTGGACAAATAGGCTTGGATGCTATCACTTCCTGTTAAAGAGTGCCTGGGGTTCTTAATTCTCCCAAGCTACAAATATTGATCATTAATGTATCAGTGCTTGTTTTAACCTAAGCTTCCCAAAATGCTTCCTTTGCACAACCCCTCCCTCCACAATTATTTATTGTACTATAAGTAATGCCTCTAGAGATTTCTTCAATTTATGGTCTGTATTCTAAAAAGTTAATGAAACCGAATATATGCATAGAACCAGAAATGGAAAAAGAGTTCCAATAGAAGAGAATATGTGTGGCTCACGGTTGAACTGTTGAGTCCTTGGGGTTCTCTGAGCTTGGTTGTTTTCTTGCAAATGTTTTGTTACCTGGGAATGGGGTTTGCTCTCCGTTTATATACAGTGGCATGCCCTGCCAGTGTTGGTGGGGGTGGGGGGTTTTGTTTTATAAAAGAGAGTTTTTTATAAAAAAAGAGTTTGTACAACTGCAACCCCACATTATAGATTCTGAATGTTCAGCAGCAGAAGTGCTGTTGTAAAATGAAGAAGTTAGAATAATATTTTGCTAATCGAATACTGTCCACACCTCACAGATTGTAAATTAAACTGGAACCTTTGTAACTTGTAATCACAAAGGTGGCAAAAGAAATGTTGCTAATATTGATAGAAGGCCTTTTGAGCTAAAAATGCCACTTGTGCCCTAAGCTATTGCACGAGAACGCTAAATTACAAATCAGAATATCAAATGTTAAAGCATCCGTCTACTCAATCATCTAGTATCACAATAAATGCTAGCTAAATTGATATGCTGAAATCAGCCACCTGACTGACTGCTGTATTTTTTAAGCCATTGGTATAGAATGCAATAAATTCTTAATTGTTATGTAACAAGTTTAGTGCGACATTTTTCCTAATGTCAAAAATGACATAATCCTGATTGCAGTGCAGAGTTTTCTCATACTTCTGATGTCATAATCTCTTCTCTCCTCATGGATGTCACAATATCTTGTGTTTCAGTTAAATATCAGAGTTGCCATTAGTAATTTTGCTCCCCTAAAGCAAAACTAACTTGATTTTCTCCAAGTACCAGTTTTTTATATCCACCGAAAGAAAGCGAAAATGCATTTAAAAATGTGGGTGAAATAAGGTGTTACTATTAGTGTGTGTTGTTCTTGGTAACATTTATTATGTTTATTTCTAGGGTAAGAAATCTGCAAAACATTTGGCTTCTTGCACAAGCAGGTAAGAGCTGCCTTGGTTGATTGTGAGAAAAGAAGTCTAGTGTGTTTACAGTTTTCTGTCTAGAAACAGAGATCCTTCTGATTTAAATAATCAGTTGAAACTATTGAAAGAGGGCATCTTTTGTCCAAGTTCCTTAGAACTAAATGCTGTTAGCATCTTTGGCATGCCATCATGAGTTGAAGCAGTTTTTTGGTCCCATGCCATCTCTTGGTGCTCATCTGTACTTGGCATAAAAATAGCATTGTCCTAACATGTCAGAGGTATCTGATAAAACTGGGACTTGTCACACTGAAGGAAGGCTCCTGGTCATATTAATTGGTCTATAAGGAGTTTAATACCTATACCTTTTTGGTGATTGACTATAAGGAAAAAGAAATAAATAACTGAAACTGCTCACACTTGCTCCAATCCCAGGGGCCTCTGTATATGGCTGCTGAGCTATATACAGCAGTTGGTCACAAATAATGCAAATCTTTTTTGGAGCAATGTGCCCTGCATGTGTTTATTGGGAAGTGATGGTACAATATGATGATGCTTTTGTTGCTGTATCTATTCTCACTTTTCCTCAACTTTTTATATCCTGGGAGAGAGATGTAAGCATAAACATTTTCAGAGAGTAGCGCTTCAAATAGTGTTTCCAGTGCCAGATTTAATGCAAACTTCTATGTGTAATAGTGTTCTCATAGTGAATGCAAGATGATATTCTGGCACAAAAGATTTTAAGATTTGTAAAACCTGCACGTGACTTTGTACTTTGCTTGGATGTTTTATATTCAGATTTTAAATGAACTTTCTTGTTATTGCAGAACAACAGTTGGACAAACTGTAACCAGCCCCCATCCTCTGTTCAGAGTAGTATATAGTAGAAGAAAAGCTCACCATTATTCTCCAAAGCCTTGTTTCAGAAAGAAACAGCTCCCTAAAGTTAGAGGCTGTGACATGGCAAATAAGGAGAATGAACTAGCCTGTGCGGGTAATCTGCCAGCCAAATTGCCTCCTGATGGTCGTACTTTCTTACTGAACTCCAGTGATGCTGGCCGTTCTCAAACAGAGAGTCCTTCCTCAAAATACAGTGGGTTTTTTTCAGAGGTAAATTAAACATTTTATCTTTTTAAAAGCTGATGAATCAGAATATAAGCCATTGGAACCCTGTTTACCTTCCTCTGTTTTACTGTGTTTCTGGTGGGGTTTGCTTACCCTCTACTGTAATCCACCTACCACCCAAATCTGGTCCAGATTAGGGATTATGAGAACTGCAGGGGAAAAAAAGTATCAGTGAGTGAATGTAATCCCACCAACATAATTGTACAACTGGATATAATCCATTTTATTAATACCAAAAATATTTAATATAGTAGCTTAACAGATAGCATTGCAAGATCTAAACCCTACTGAGACTGTATTGCTGTTTGTACATAAACATCTAGGATATATGGGAACATTAATATTAACCCCAATAGTTCTCTGGACAAAATCATGTTTTCCTGAAGGAGATGGGCTGTATGTTGGGACTTCTCTTGGACTCTCAGCTCCTGCTGGAACAACAGGTGGAAGCCCTGGCTAGAAGGGGGTTGCCTGGTGCACTAGCCATGCTGCATAATTGGATTTCTTTCTGTGTGGCGATGCCTTTGAAGTCAACTTAGAAGCTTCAGCTGGTTCAGAATACAGCAACCGGGCTGTTAGCTCTGAGAAACCACCACAGCAGAATTACTCCTACCTTGGCCACATTGGTTGTCAGTATGTTTTCAGGCCCAATTCAGCATGTTGTTCATTATTTATAAAGCCCTATATAGTGTGGCACTGGAATATATCAGAATTAACATATCAAATAGGATTCTGCCTATCTAGTCTGGACATCTAGAAAGGGACCTTTGAAAATCCCAGCCCCTCACAATGTACAGAGGTTTGGCTAGGCACCAAGCTTTCTCAGTGGTAACCTCAATTGTTTGGAACACTCTTCCCTAGAGTTTTGGCTCTGATATTATTCTCATTCCAAAAGGCCCTGAAAACAACTTTATTCCAACTAGCCTTTGGTATTTAATATGATTGTGGCCAACCACTGATTTATTTTTTGACTGTAATAATATGCTTGATTTCTTCTGTTTACTGCTCAGAATACACTAAGAGCAGCATACAAAAATTGTAAATAAGTATGTAACTAATGGAAATAGTGTTTTCCATAACATGCAGAAAATTGGTCAGCTATGACAGTGTGAATAGAACCTATATATAATAGAGAATCTCATTTAAATGCTTTTTCCATTCTATACATTCTTTTTCTATAACTCTGTTTTGTTTGCCACTGCTGGAAAGAAGGCCACCATGCTGCAGCTTTATTCTGTCTTTATATCAGAAGGACAGAATGTGCTGGCTATACAAATTGCTGTTACTCCAGTGGGCTAATGTAACCACCTTTTTTGGTTTCCCCATACTATAGAAAGCATGCAAATAGAGCAATATCTGGCAACAACTCCCTGTATTATTTGTATAATAATGCATCAAACATGCACTTAGGACAGGTTTCACAAAATACTACTTGTAAATGACAATTATTATATAAATTTGAGCTTCTGTGGGTAAAATGCAAGAACAAGCTGACATCAGAACACAGAGTTGTCTAGAATCAGGCATTTTTAAATCTTCGTAAAGTAGTAAAATAAAAAATCCATTCATAAGGATTCTGAGGATTCTATCAGGCACAGGAATTGTCCCTCCTATTCCATGAGCAGAAATAGCTTCCATTCATGGAAATACAGTTCTGGGACAATATTTATTTATCATGAAATAATCTGTATATAGCTGCATATAGATAGCTTTAATAGATCCAGCTGATAGGAAATTCATAGAAAGATAGTTCTTGGCTCATAATACTTATGTTCTTCTTGTGTTTCTAGGTTTCTGAAGATCATGAAACAATGGCCCAAGTTCTCTTCAGTAGAAATCTCCGGCTGAATGTAGCTTTAACCTTCTGGAAGAGGAGAAGTATAAGTGAACTTGTAGCCTACTTAGTGAGGTAAAGTTGCAGAAAGATTGCTGCTAGGACAACTGAATTCACTGTGTGTGCGTCTGTGCATGTGCATGCACATGTTTGTGTAGGATTCTCTTTCACAGAGTAAAGTTGGATAGAGACTATGCATTAGCCTTACTGATTGGATGTTCCCTCCAGAAAGTATCCATAATGGGACAGTTTATTGTTGTTGTTGATAATGAAAATAATAATAATATAATAATAATGGATAATTAATAATGGAATGCAAGACCATAATTTTAAGAACTCTGGGAATTCTTCACAGGCCTGCTATGCACAGATTTCATATATCTGTGTAAATTAATGTAATAAAATCCAGCAATTTCTGATCTACTGCACTTAAAATATCTATGCTACTTTCTGAAATCTTTTGAAAAATTACATAAAGCTGCGTCTAATGGTGTATTTTCACTGATGTTTCTAGGATACAAGATCTGGGAGTAGTTGTAGATTGTCTCCCTGTCCTTACCAGCAGGTAAAAGAAAAATCTAGAGGAAGGGGTTGATGGAGTCTGAAAGTGTATGTTTATGGATACTAATACTGTCTTGTTTCAGTTTACAGGAAGAAAAACCTTATATTTCTGTTGGTTGCTGTGTAGACCTTCTACCATTAGTAAAATTAATCCTTAAAAGCAAATTTGAAGAGTGAGTTTTTTTAAAATAGTTCTTATGTGATTATTTAGAGAATAAAAACAAAAGTTAATCTTTAGCTATCAGCTGCTGCAGTTTGTTATCCCTGATAAATTCATAAAATTGCATGGCAAGGATGGGACCAACGGTGATTTTATTGGTCTCATTGTCCTAACACCATGTGGCCTTCCAAATGTTGCCGAGCTATACATTCCAAGATCCCCAGCCAGGATGGGTTAAAGTAAGGGATGCTGGAAAGCCATCTGTTGTACAGCATTTTCATATTTGCACTTAGTCTTCCTCAACCTGATTTATTAATACTAAAGGTAAGTGCCTCTCCTGCCATTTGTATACTTAAAATCAAGCTATTTATGTCAGTTCAGTTGCTTAAACCTGTTCATATAAAAAGATTTTGGAAAGCCCAAAAGCAGTCTTGCTGAGCAGAATGACTTGGAAAAATATGTTTCCCAATAATAAATTGGATGAATTATACCCATAAAACTCTTTCATTTTGCCTTCTAAGAAAAAAGAAACCCTTAATACATTATTGGGAAGATTTATTCTGCCTGTTTTTTCCATGGATTTTTTTTTTTTATTGCACACAGTTGGCAGCTGTTTCTCTTGCTTCTTTTAAGGAATATTTTGCCAATGAATTGTTTAAGCAGTTTCCAGTTTGAAGTTTTACAATATTGATTTCTTTTTTTCCCCCCCAGATATGTAATTGTTGGTTTAAATTGGCTTCAGGCTGTGATTAAAAGATGGTGGTCAGAACTTTCTGTTCATACAGAAAAGATAGATGATGGGTAAGTTACCCTTTTTAAATATGCAGTGTGGCTTTTAGTGTGACTGCTAAGCTTTAGTCTAAAACTTGTTTATTTTCTAATAACTAAAATCTCTCTTCTGGTAAAAGAACTAGATTTTGTGAGCAAACTGTTATGAGCAGCTCTAAAAGTGATCAGATTAAACAGTGTTCAAGAAGTTTGATAATGCAGATGTTTCCCTTTCTCAGTTACTGTATATTGAAAACTCTGCCATAAAAAGTGGAGAAAACTTTTTTCCATTAGAGGTAGAAAGTTTGGACTGAATCCTGATTCATGGTAGATTTTCTTGCCTAATCTTCAGAACCCTCTGTTATCTATAAAAAATAATTACATTGTGAAGTAATTTTGACAATGTGAGATGCACACAGAATTATTTATTGTTTGATTTATATAGCCACCCATCTCACGTGACTCTGGGCGGCTTACAATAAAATAGATAAAAACAAATAAAATACATAATATAAAATAAAACATATAGCAGCCAAGCATCATAAAATAACCATCAACAAAGCCAAAAGATGGGCTCTATCTCACTTCCAGGGCCCCAGGCCTGGGCATCAGACAAAGTTCATAGGGCCTTGTGAAAAGTCACCAGGGTTGGGGACAACCTAATCTCAGATGGAATGATGTTCCACAGGGCATGTGCATGTCAGAAAAGGCCAGCCAATGCTCCTTAGCTGACAGTACCCAAAGCATGCTTTTTTTTTTTTTTTAACAGAAATAATATATTTCTGATCTTAGAAGTATGGCATCTATTGAGGTTTCCAGTGTTATAATACAGGAAACAAAATTCTAGAACATAAGATAGAGTACTGATAAGTTGAAACTTGCTCTAAGGCTGATGAAATGTATGTAATAGCGCTCACAAATTTCAGTTAAAATTATTTTTAAAAAACACATTTCTTCTGCATTAGCCAGTAACTTTCTACAAAAGTTACTACAAACTTTTGTACTAACTACAATTGGTCATACATTTGAAATCTAGGTAAGATACTTACCATGAGACACTGATTGCTCTTTATTTATTTATTGCATTGATATTCCATACTTTTGGCTTTTTTTCTTAGAAATATTCAGATTTTAAAAGAACAATTAAGTGTATTGTGGAAACAAGAAAATCAACTTACTTTGGTTCCAGGATATACGGGTAATATAGCAAAGGTAATAGATATCCATTTGATGAAAATATATTTTTAAAATTAATTTATGGTCTTAATTTATATAATTCAACTTAAATTATAGTGGAATGTACCAAATGACATTCTTCTGCCCTTCCCTTCTTGTGATACTCAAAGTCTAATTTGAAGGGTTTGATTCTCTAGAGCTATGTAAGTGTTGGGGAGTCCCTTGACATGAGCAGAAACCCTATCATGTAACTTTGAAGCCTATTGAGTTACTTTATTTCTCCATTTGAGGTTAATTATTTGGAATTTGAAATGAGTTTCTAACAATAGTATTTTTCTTTGTATATCGATATAGCCCATGTTCCTGCAGATATTGGGTTAGCTTAGCAAACCTCTCACATCTCTCCCCTCTTGTCACTATTAAGATAGAAAATTGAATCTGGCTTATTGTTTCTTATATGTCTGCTCTTCAGTCTCTCTCTTACCCCTTGGTTATTTTACCTGGTTATTATCCTGATCTTTGCTTTTCATAAAAAAAGCAGCACCAAATGTTACCCTCTTGATTAGCAGATAAGAACTTTTATTATTTCATAGAACAGTAGGCATAATCATTCTTAGCATTCATAGAATAACCATTCAGAGGACATCACATTATCTTGTAGTAACTCCATAACAGAGAATATTATTTCCTATATTGCAGACAGAAGGCTCTGAGCAGTGTATGTTGTTATACATCAGAGAGACAAGAATGCACACACTGGCTTTGCCTCCTAATATCTTGCATGAATTATCCCTCACTTGCATGAGTTATCCCTCACTTGTCACAGAAAAGTTAGGAATGAGGTTCTACATGCATTTGCATGAATACAAAACAGAACTTTTAGTATAATTGGGGAATTAATTATCAGAGCAAATTAAAGTAAGAGCAGAACTCCAGTTTATACCTTGTTGCTTAGTGCAGCAAAGTGGGAGATAGAGGGTGACAGTCTTTGCGTGTCAAAGCTTATTGCATAGATGTTAAGTTAAAACCTGAACAAGACTAAAGGATATGTGAATTACCAAAATATTTTAGCAATGATGTTTATACATTATGCTAAGCCACAAGTTTGTTTGACTATAATTCACTGAATGAATTTTACTGGTTAACTGTGCACAAGATGCTGAGCAGAAACAAGCCATGTTGTACTACAATTCCTATATAACACTTCAAACGCTCTGATAATACTCTTAAAGCCTGTGATTGAGTGTGGGTGTTTTTATGTGTTTCTACAAAGAAATATCTTTGAATAAGAACAGAGATACACATGCAAGTGTTCGCTAAAGCAGCGTTTCTCAACCTTGGCAGCTTGAAGAGCGTGGACTTCAACTCTCAGAATTCCTCAGCTAGCATTCTGGGACTTGAAGTCCACACATCTTAAAATTGCATTTGAAGAGAGGTTTGGTGTCATGAATTGCTCTTTGAATTAATGTGCTTTACTGCTTTCATTTTTTTTTTTAGGATGTGGAATCTTATTTGTTACAGTTGCACTGATATTCCTGGAGGACAAAATTGTGTGTGCACTAATGTGCTTAAAAGAAACTTTCAAGTAATAGTAAGAAAGGTACTCTTTCCAAAATAATTCCTCTTCTGAGGACTGTCTTTGACAGAAGAAGGCTGGACCATTGGACTATTTAATGCAAACACTAAATATCCATCTGCTTCACATTGAAGTGGAAAAAATTCTAACAGGAGCAACTTTTACTTCAGTGAGGTGAAAGTGCACTATGAAAACTGTATGTATGCCTTTGGTGCATTTGGGGGATATTTTCAGTTACCTGGTGAAATTGTGAAAGTGTTTCTTCTACATAATTGTATAATACAACAACACCTAATTGTGAAGACAGAATGAAAACCATTACTAGGAACCACAAAAGACCATTTGCCATAAATATTTTTTAAACCATGTTTTTCTTATGAACTGTAAAAATGTATTTTCAAATATGTTACAGATTTTGGCAGTTTTGATGTATTGAATTTCTGAAATGTGTCTGCTATATTAATCAAAATATTAAAGACTATTTTTGTTGCACTACTGAGAAACTGTATCTAGCAAGAGGCCTTAACTACTAGAACTGCAAATAGCCAATATATTAGGATATCATATAGCCAATATATTAATTTACTATATAGAGGGATGGAAATTCCTTTGAAAAAAATCAAAGTATTTACACAAATTGTGTATAAATCATTTTGAAATGTTTTGCACACTGAAATATGTTGAAGTGGGGTTTTCCACTAAATTGACTACTTAAATACCTTTATGACTTAATTGTAAAAGAGTATTAAAATGTAGAACATGGAGAAAACTCATTGTAGATATCAACAGAAGAGTGATTCTGTATACCTTGCATTTTAATACTTTTTCTAATATATTCTATTCTTTATAGCTTGAATTACATGCTGCTTAGTAAATGTACTAAATGTTGCTGTTTTAAGTTCAGATAACTAACTTTCCCACTTCAGAACCTTTTCTGCTGTCCTTCAGTTATTTAAAACTCCTGCTCCTAGAAATGTTTACAGCCTGAATAGACTTGTGCTTTTCAGATTTAACAGCGCAGCTGCTACCTCTTCTAACAAATGTTGCTGCAGATCTTTCAGATGTAGCTGCCACACGGTCAAATTCCTAACTTAACATTAATTTTTTTTTAGAAAAATAAATGCAGTACATCCCATGTATAATTTTACAGGTGTACTTTGTTTCACTCATTTGTGACATTTTAGACAATCTGCTGTGGTTTACTGATTATTTGAATTGAAAAACAACTTGATGGGTTTGTGTGATGGCACCTGTGTTCTATATAACTAGAAAACAAATATGTCCAACTAAAATTTTAGAAACTGCCAGCAGTGCACTGAAGCTTAAACTGAAATACGTTTGTAGCATACTAGCAAAGTTGGCCATTATGTTTAATGTTAATCCCAAACTAAATTTAAACATTAGATCTATGTATGTATCCAACTGCAGGCTGTAAGAAATAGGCCTTATGTACATTTCCCTATAAAAACAATTTTGAATTGTTAAAATCAGAACTAAAGTCTAGTTCTGTTGAATCAGTTTACAGACTCTTCTAGCTGTGCAGAATGATGCAAATTATCCCTGGGTCTTATGTGTTTATTTAAGAGAAAATCTGTCCTGCTCTTGAGCCAACAGAGCTCCTAAAAATAACTTGAGGACCAAGTATATGAAATTGTTTTAGGACCAAGTAATTATTTTCATAATGTTTTAAGGGCTGACTATATGAAATCAGTAGCACCAATAACTGACTATATTATATAATTCTATACTACTACTGTACTCATCTGATCCAACTAACTTAAGCCAGGTAGCAATTTTATGCTGTTCCACGCTGACCTCCTATTTCATAGGCCATTTTGCCTTGACAGTTGCTTTTTGTTTCATTCTGTTCTATAGAAGGCTAAGTAATATAAAGTGGAATTTCATAAAATAAAGGCTTCAAATAGTTAGGAATGGGTTAGATGGAGATTTTGGGATACTGGAGGTTCGAATTTGTTTTTAGAAATATTAAGGCATATTAGATGTAGTTTACACTTTTTTGTTTTCCACTAAAATTGGTAGCAAATCATACATCCACACTTTGTGCAACTTCGGTCTGTAGAGAATGCAACAGGGTGCAGACCACCAATCGGTTATAGTGACTTTTACTTAAGATGTACCTAGCTTCAGTATATGCTGCACCAATGTGTAGTAAAGAATGGGCAAGGCAAAGCATGTAAAGGGCATGCTTTGCAAAGCACTAGGACTGTGCAGCAGTACAGGTGGTGCTCATTTAGTGACTGCAATTGGGACTGGCACCTCAGTCACTAAGTGACGCAGTTGCTAAGTGGAAAATCATGTGACCATGACTGTGCTTATGATTTTACTTCAGCTTTCCTTTTTACCCACTTCCCTGCCCTTTGGAATGCTCACCCCAGCGCTGGGATAATTAGCAAGAAGGGAATTAATGTTTCTACATTTACATTGATTGGAGAGGAAGTGATTACAAGAGAGTAAGCAGGCACACAGTGGGAAACACACATTCCCCATTGTGTACCTGCTTACTCTCTTGTAATCTCTTCCTCTCTAATCTCTCTGCTCTGCAAGGGGAAAAAAAGAAAAAAACAGGTCAGGTACAGGATGTGTACTAACTGATTGTAATGGTGAACACATGACTGAGGGATACCACAAAGGTCATAAATTTGTGTCTTGGTTGCAAACTCATTTTTTCAGCACTGTTGTAACTTTGAACAGTTGCTGCACGAGGCAATTAGTAGCAAGGTCTACCTGTACATACAGTGGTACCTCGGGTTATGAACGCCTCTACTAACGAACGTTTCGGGTTATGACCAGCTTCGGCAGGAAAAATTTACCTCGGGATACAAACT